TGGAATTATCAAGCTTATAGCAGTTCAGTTACTTTTATAAGTAATTTACAAAGAGTTGTCGACGGTGTTTCGAATCATCCTCCAAAATGAATGCGAATATCGATTATTCAAACGAAGTTCTTATAAAATTATTTATTATACACATGAACAAAGTGATCAAATCATTGTCAGAACGTGTAAAGAATTCAACCAAATGTATCCTGAGTTAACACCAATGAACGAGAGGAAGTTTGTAAGGTTACAAAATAATTTCCTTAACTATGGCTCAAAGTTTCCAGGGAACAACTGTACCAAAAATCAGTCATTTCTAGGTAAAAAGTAAGATTTTGTGGGCTAAAACATGTGAAAGTATAGACAATAGCAAAATAGGATGATTCAAAATAACAAAATTGTAAACAAAATATCAAATTTTCACAATAAATGCTGAAAATGTTGTCCATTACATTCTAAACACTTCAAAATGTTGTTTTATACGCGACTCGTGGTTGCTTTTTCAATTTCCTGGGGATCCAGATCTTCAATACTCCGCACTATTCGCCGTCGCAATTCTTCTTTGGTAGGTACTGGAGTACTGTATACCCTTTCTTTCGAAACACCAAATAAAAAAATGTCAAGTGGCGTGAGATCGGGTGATCTCGGTGGCAATCCCACTGCCCTAAACGCCTAAACCAACGATCGTCGAAGAGTTCGTCAAATTTCCTGGAAACTTTCTGGGTGGAATGAGCTGGCGCTCCGTCCAGCCTCTAAAGGCAAATTTTCAAGAAAATCGGTTACAGTCGTCCTTGATATTTGGAGATATCTCTCTGCATTCAGTGTGTATTCATAAATAAAAAAGCTAATTTTATTTTTCTTCAGAATACAGAAAACATTCAGGTCAAATTTTTCTTGAAAACCCATTTCTTTTGTAACATGAGGATTATGATCAGCACAAAAATTTTTATTCCTTCTATTGAAAATACCATCCCTCGTAAATTTTGATTCGTCGCTCCAAATTATGTTTGACAAAAATTCCCGATCTTCCTGTGTATGAATCAAAAGGGATTCACAAAAATGCATTCTACGTTCGAAGTCTTCTGCTTTTAGAGCTTGAACTTTGGTAAATTCATACGGATGCATTCCGTGATCTTTCAAAATTCGTTGTACTGAAGCATGTGATACACCTAAATCTTTTTCTGCACTGCGAGTGGAAGCTTCTGGATATGCATAAAAATATGCCAAAACGTTAACAGTATTGTCCTCATTTGAATATTTTGAGTTTGTCCAAACTATCATAAAATATCAACTTTTCATGAATTGAGAGTACTGATGTACTTGATTTCAATTAAGGCTATGTTTTGGACCATATTTAGCACAATTTATTTTTTATTTCGAAAACAGATAGAGATAGGTATAGGACATTATTGACGAAAAGTATTGAAATACCAGAGCAATTCCAAAAATGTATTGATATACGGGGTGTTCTATTTAAAAAAATAAAGTTGCTAGGACTTTTTGATGAAAGTGGCAACGCCGCAATGCTGAAAATATTTCAGATCGATAGAACTGGTAAAGAAATGTGAGAGGTGAAATTTTCAGAAAAATCATGCTTTGCGTTTTCCAGAAACGTCTAACCTACCATCGACCGTGAGTCACGCTGTATATATAAAGTTTCAATATGAGAGAATCGGAGAGTTTTCAAATATTTGAAAGTATTTCCACTTTGTAGACATCCTTGACAAAACCCAGACTAAAGGAATTGAATCTTTTGAATCAACTTCCCGAATGTTTACTAGAAAGCTTCATAAACACAGCTGACATGTAGGATAAAAACAATTGTAATTAAACATGTTGACGTTCTTTATTGCTATTAAATAAACATTCCAGGATTAGTTTTCAGCAGCAGGTTGATGGATGAATGTTATTCCACAAAGTTTTTGAATGATTCTTGACGCACAAAATAATTTCTACAGGACAAAATTGGGAACCCATTGAATAAATTCTTATCTGCTTCACTTACCGACTCGAATGAAAGTAATACGATTTTATGTCTACTCCGGAGAATGTCGACCTGACGGAATCACAGAAAAAGTTAACCAGTCGTAAATTCGTTCAGAGACAAGATACAGCAAAATGGTTTTAGTTTTGGGGATGTTTTTTGGGGATCTATTTCATTTACTGTTTTTACCCACCTTCGCTAAATTACTATTTATTGATATCAATAAGGATTGGTTGGGTAACCAAAATTTCCAAAGATTGCCCAACGTTATTTCACAATCACAAATTGGAAAGTAAGTTTCGAATCGTTAGGCAGGGTGTTCCCTAATTACGGTGCGAAACTTCAGAGGGTGATTCGTTAAGTCTTTTTGAGAAGAAAAGTTCCAATGAACATATGTCCGGAGTTACTTTGTTTCTGAGATACAGGGACTGTGTGCAAAATGTTATGTACACCCATATTCAAAAAGTTATTTCTCCTACTCAGCATGAATTCGTACAACAAAGATCATGTACGTAGCTGGACAAGCAGAAACAAGTCGATGTTGTTTATTTAGACTTTCAAAAAGCCTTAGATCAAATAGACCAGGGGTCTACAAACTTTGAAGCCTTCGGGCCATAATTATTTTTTCAGTTTGTTCCAAGGGCCAATATCTGCCCTCAACTATATTTCTAGACTAGGATAGTCGCAAAGTGCGTGACCTAAGCAAACTTACACTTTTTTTGCATTTCAACTATTATTGTGTATTGTGACACTTAACGACATCTAGTGGCGAGTAGTGGTACTATGTACTATCTTTTTCAGCTACCCGCTAGGTGGCATTAGGCGTAATTAAATATTTGGAATTACCGCGTTGGTTCGAGAAAGTNGATACTCGTTTTTCAGATTTTGATGTCATTGCGAATGAAATTAAGCTTTTTCAAAATCCTTTTGATTCTGACATTGAAACCCTGGCTCCGGAAGTCCAAATGGAAATTATTGATTTACGGTGCAGTGATATGCTTGAAAACAAATATCAAAATTCATCTTTGTTGGAATTTCACTGGAACAATTTGATAATTTGCATAAATTTGCTCGTGGGTTGTTTTCTGTTTCTGGTACTACTTATTTGTGTGAGAAAACGTTTTCCAAGATGCTTAAACTTAGATACTTAAGTTAAGTTTTCTTTGTCATCATTGTCATTGTCAATCATTGGCTGTCGCGGGCCGGATAGCCAATAATTTAGACCATAGACCATTATGTTCTTCTCAGCAAATTGACTAAATTGGGACTCTCTAACCAACTGCTTACTCTAATTGAATCATATCTAGTTAACAGAAAACAATTCATTGAATATGAATCTTTCAAATCGACTCAGTACGTAGTTACATCTGAGGTACCACAAGGTTCTAATGTTGGACCTCTTTTATTTTTTATTTTTATTAATGACTTGGCAACCTCTTTGAATATTCCTAGCCTAGTATTTGCAGACGATCTGAAACTATATTATAAAATCGACTGACTGCCAACGTCTACAACATGAATTAGATGTAATCAAACTTTGGTGTATCCAAATGTAAAATAATATAATTTACAACCAAAAAGCAAACTCTAATGTACGATTATTCAATCAACAATACTACAATCAACATGAGATAAAAGGCCTTGGTATAACATACGACATTGAATTAACATTTACAACACATATAAAGAATATGACTGCTGATGCAAATAGGATGCTTGGATTAGCGAATGAATATACTAAACCAATGGTCTAGTCAAAGTTCTGGGAAACTTTATAATAAAAAAGTGGTTTCGCTAACTTGATATCAAGGTAGCGAGACAACATGTATTTTTTTAAAAAAGGGGCGAAAAAATTTTTCCTATGCAACTAATTAGCGAATACATATACTAACCCAATGGTCTAGTCAAAGTTCTGGGAAACTTTATGATAAAAAAGTGGTATCGCTAACTTGATATCAAGTAAGCGAGACAACATGTAATTTTTTAAAAGAGGGGGCGAAAAAATATTTTCCTCCTCAACTAATCAGCGAATAAATATACTAAACCAATGGTCTAGTCAAAGTTCCGGAAAACTTTATCATAAAAATACACGTATCGCTAACTTGATATCAAGTTAGCGAGACAACATGTATTTTTTGAAAGAAGGGGCAAAAAATATTCTCTTCCTCAACTGATCAGCGAGTAAATATACTAAACCAATGGTCTAGTCAAAGTTCTGGAAATCTTTATGATAAAAAAGTAGTATCGCTAACTTGATATCAAGTTAGCGAGACAACATGTATTTTTTTTTAAAAAAGGTCGAAAATATATTTTCCTTCGCAACTAATTAGCGAATAAATATACTGAACCAATGGTCCAGTCAAAGTTCTGGAAAACTTTATAATAAAAAAGTGGTATCTCTAACTTGATATCAAGTTAGCGAGACAACATGTAATTTTTTTTTAAAAGAGCGAAAAAATATTTTCTTCTGCAACTAAGCAGCGAATAAATATACTAAACCAATGGTCTAGTGAAAGTTCTGGAAAACTGTATAATAAAAAAGTGGTATCTCTAACTTGATATCAAGTTAGCGAGACAACATGTACTTTTTTTTAAAGGAGCGAAAAAATATTTTTTTCCTCAACTAAGCAGCGAATGAATTTACTAAACCAATGGTCTAGTCAAAGTTCCGGAAAACTTTATAATAAAAAAGTCGTATCGCCTACTTGACGTCAAGTTAGCAAGACAACATGTAATTTTTTTGAAAAAGGAGCGAAAAAATATTTTTTTTCGCAACTAAACAGCGAATAAATATACTAAACCAATGGTCTACTCGAATTTCTGGAATACTTTATAATAAAAAGTGGTATCGCTAACTTGATATCAAGTTAGCGAGGCAACAGGTTTTTTTTAAAGGGGCAAAAAAATATTTTCTTCCGCAACTAATTAGCGATAACAAAAAATAAAAATAAAAACTTAAGAGTTTCCAAGCCAAGTTACTTCACCCATACCAACATTATCTGTTTAAAAAAATCTGATGACTAACCTTTATATTACGGGAAAACCTTCAGGAGCTTGAAACTTCTCGTAACTTTCATACCGCGACCAGTCTGATCTGATGCTTTCCAGGACGGAGGAGCGCGCGAACTGAAATGCTCTCAACTGAAACTTTAACGTGGCGAAATATTCACGATGATGCACATGCTCTTCAGCATTCCCCAAAGAAAACTTTGTGAAATGACAATGAAGATTCGTAAACGTTGCCTCGGGTTTGTGGAACTTTGTGATCTCACAAATTCAAAGTGCTACTTGGTGATTATTCGAGTTAAAAAACAATAGTAACTATGGAATTCTTGGGATTGTTTCCTCTCATTCATCATTTTTGGTTGGCCTATACAGTGTGTAGAAGCCAAATGGAATAAATTCATTATTTCAGTTACTGTGAATATTGTAACAAAACTCCGAAACATGTCAAATTTAAATTATAATTTGACATATTTCCCCTACCTTCAACCCCCGTCGAATGACAGGTACAACCTCCAATTTTTTAAATAGGAAGTATAGGCTTGTGATTCATCGTTTGAAAGGTCTTTTCATTTTCTATTCAAAAACGTTATCGCTTTCAAGTTCATTGCCACAATTAAGATAAAATGAATCAAAATCAGTGAAAGTTCGCATTGCTGAGCACAAGAAACACACACAGCGAGGGGAAACCTGCAAATCAGGAATAGCAGACCATGTTTGGACCCATCAACACAACATCGAGTGGTACCAAGCTGAGATTTTGCATAGAGAGGAACATTGGTTTAGGAGAAAACTCAAGGAAGCCGCATACATGTTGTCCAACAACGTATTCAACCAAGCCAGCGTAGAAATACGCAACATATGGAAACCCATTATCAAGCGAAAAATGGCCAACTCCCGCCAAAACGGTCATCTCCCACGGAACCAGTAAAGCGGAAAATGGAAAGCGAGGATAAGTGAAAGTACTCGAACGACCTATAAATAGTCATCTCTCGGAGGAATCAGTCCAGTCATCACCCGAAGACGATTGTAGATACTAACAATCGAAACGTCGTGAACT